ATAACCCCTAGCTGGGGAATGTTTAAAAAAGGACAGTCTTATTCATGTCGATATTCCTGCACCTAACTCAGTACTGGCACAAAGGATATCCTCAATAAGTGTTTGTTGAATGAATGAATGAAGAAATGGGTAGATACACAAATAAAGCTGTACTTTATAATTAGAATATCTTCATGCTTTTTGCATCCCCAGCAATTACTTCTTTGTGAGAGTGTGAGCAGGAAAGGAAAGTAAAAGGGGACTGACACTTATCATATGCTGGTCACAGGGTTATATGTATATATACAGTAGTCCCTCCTTCTCCACAGGGACACATTCCAAGACCCCCCATGGATGCTTGAAATTGCAACTAGTACCAAATCCTATATATACTATGCTTTCTCCTGAATAAACATACCTTTTCTCTTAAAGGAAGCACTTCATCACTTCTCTTTGGCATGTCTGAATTGCCAGCATCACTACTCTTGCGCTTTAGGGCCATTATTGAGTAAAATGAGGGCTATTAACACAGCACTGCAATACTGCAACAGTCCCTCTGATAAGCAAGACGGCTACTAAGTAATAACGGGTGGGCAGTGCGTACAGTGTGGATACGCTGGACAAAGGGCTGATTCATGTCCAGCATGGGACCAGGCAGGATGGAGTAAGATGTCATCGTGCTACTCAGAATGGCACACAATTTAAAGTTATGAATTGTTTATTTCTGGAATTTTCCATTTAATATTTTTGGAGTGCAGTTGATCATGGTTAACTGAAACCAAAGAAAGCAAAATCGTGAATAAGAGGGGACTACTGTATTCTTTACTGATGCTTCCTCATTTATTTTGACACTGTCACAGAGCCCTGAGAGAATGATAAGAGGGCAAGGTTCCTTCCCATCAGAGACGGCTGCTTTCCATACTGAGGGCACAGGAAAGCTCTGTTTCACAGAAAGACATCCTTGGGGGGGGGATAGTAGAGGGGTCAGTGACACTGATATCCCAAGAACTACAGAGGGCCATGTGGGATGAAGGTCTTGAGAGAGGAGACACAGGGCTAGGTGTCATGAGGCCCCTGTAAATAGGCCCACAACATTTTCTGGCCTGTTTCTTCATCAGCAACATGAGGGCAATGGCCTGGATCCTCTCTAAGTTCTCTCACAACTCCATGACTCCCTAGTCCAGAGAATCTTTTCCTGCATCATGTATTTATTTGTGGAATGAAAGAATGAATAAATGTACAAATGAAGAGGTGAGCCATCCAGTGACATCTCTAAAACATCTTACACCTCTTGCTGCTGTCCCCACCCTTCTGCCCCCAACCTGTACCAGGTACACCAACCAGGTACTTGTGACCCGCTTGCCACTCTGAAGTCCCCATCAGGCTCAAGAGGCCAGGCCCCTGCGCATTGCCCCCTCCTGTCCACTGCCTAAAGGGCCCCGATTCCTAGGATAGTCAGCAATGATTCTTCCCAAAGGGAGCCTTCATTTTAGAACTGAGCATCTCTGGACCTGCTCTCTTGTCTCTGAATCTGCCTGTTGTGGTATGAATGATTCAGTCCTCAAGGTGGACAGAGGCCCTCGAGCTGGGCTCATGGGCGAGGTGGACATATAAAAATACACAAGCACAGGCCTCCAAGAGCAGTGCTCAAGCCGGGCTCAGGGGACAGAGTATGGTACAGCCCAGGCCACACATCGCCCCGGGCCAGGACGTGCTCCTTATAGGGCATGTCAAGCCGAGAATCAGAGAGGGTCTCTCGGTCACTTTCTGGCTCTTCTTTGCCTTATCTAGGTTTCTTATTGTTATGTACTGATCAGGAACTATTAAAACAAACAGGGGGTTTCTTCCCAGAATCACCAAAAGATAGATCTACTTCAGATGCTAGCCCCTCCCCTAGAATTTTAATTATATGCTTACATCACTACCCCTACCCAACTTCCAATGTCTTAGTCTTCTTTTAATATCCCCAAGTACCTAGGCTCAGAATGAATAAACTCAGTGTTGAATGAACACATGAATATACATATATACAACCCCTTTGTCTTCTTCTATAATAGAAGACCCAGAGAGGCAGAGAAGTTACTTAATCTGTTCAAGGTCATACAGTCAATTACTGGTTGGGGAAGCCAGACTTGAAAACCAAACTAAATTCTGTTTTGGCCCCTCCACTAAACAGTGTGGAAAAGGAGAGAACAGTAATTGAGCATCAACAGAATGCCGGGCACTATGCGGTGTGTCACAAGGCTGTGAAGATATTATTGTTCCCATTTTGCAGATGAGAACATCAAGGCTCAGAGAGGCATTCTTTGCCTAGACTGCTCCTCACTTTTCCTGCCTGGATAACAAAAATTCTTCTTCAGGCTCCAGCTCAGAGGTCATTTCCTTCAGGAAGCCTTTCTTCCCTGGTTCCCAAAATTCAGTGGGTGCCATCCTCTGCTGCCCCACAGCCCTGTGTGCTTCTGTCCCTGTGGTGGCATTTATGCCCCGTGCTGCCACTGATTGTCAGTGACACATTGAGTTTCTCCAGCTGGGCAAGGGCTGTATCTTCAATAAATCAAAATTTTAACACCAGGCAAAAAGCCTGGCACACAGCAGGAGCCCAGTAAATATTTGTGGAATAAAAAAGAAAAGCAGGGAAGGAAGCAAAGAAGAAAGGGAAGAAGGCTCCCAAAGCCACAGAAGTGGGAAGTGGGGAAGCTGGGTCTGAATCAAACCTGGTTTCAGAGATGAGACCAGATCTATGAAGACCACCACCTCCCCCTAAGGGAGAGACCCTTTTATTATATTCTGTAGATTTGTCTTAGAACTTGGCACATTCCCAATCTCCCACTAACAAGTGCTAATCAATGGATTTTAAGCTTTCACAGGTCAGGACAGTGGGTGTATTTTCTGAGGTGCCTGTGGAGCTTGAGACACAGGTACTGCAAAGGCTGGGTACTCCACACGTACTTGTGGTTTGAACTGATTTCTATTCAGTCCATCCCTCTGTGAGGACGACAGTGACTTGGATCAGGGAAGAGCCGGCCCCAGCTCTCATAATGGCATTCAAGGCCTGTGCGGTGGGAGAGCCTGGGAAGATCAAGACACAAAGTTCTGCCTGGGGTCAAGTGTATCTAAGTGTTTTACATGCTGATGTAAAATGTAGGGTATCTCATCACCCCAGAGGTTCAGGAGTGGTTTCTGGGGTTTAAGTTCAGTTCACAATCCTGTAAAACAGGCAGTTTCCCTGGGAGTCAGAAAAACATTGTGGAGAGTTTGTGGTACTGTGTTTCCCCCCTAGAGGTTTATAAAAGGCACAGTATCCAGAGTGAGATGAAAATACGAGTTATTCACCTGAAGACCGGATGCTCTTTATCTCCATGAAAATTCCAGCCTGTCCTCAGCCCCCACCCCCACAGCCAGCACGGCTTTTCCAAATGTTCAGCTAGGGTTTCTCTTCGAGATTTTATTTTGATAAAGAATTTTAATAACCTTTTAAGTTACATACCACATGTGACTGTTAGTGTCACTGTGCACCCCTGAAGGCTATGGTCTGGGAGAACGGCCAAGGCCAAGGCAGAGCCAGGAGTGAGGAAACTGCCAGCCCAGGAATCAATCAGGAGACTTGGTGTGAGACGGCTCTGCCCCTGCCCCTGCCCCTGCCTCCCTAGGCGACTCTGGCTAAGTCCCTACCTCCTGTTCCTGCTCTGGGATAGGGCATGGAAAGGCCTCTCGGATGATGCCCTGGGCCATCCTGCAGATCTACTAGAGACTACTGCATTGGGGACACAGTGTAAGAGGTAGAGGGCACCTATGAAGATGAGTAAGTAGGGTAAGAGCTCATTTATCTAACTTCAAGGAGGAATGAGGCTTTACATATAAATCTGTGATCTGGATAATGGAAACCTTCCTTCTGAACACAAGATTGCATTTGACTTAAACTCCGGGGACAGACCTTGTGATGACTCCCTTTTATAAGCGAGGCCCACTGACGCAGGGTGACTCAGGACCACCTTCAGGGGTGTGAGGCATGGACTTGCATTATACTGAGTCCCTCAATGCTGATGGGCCTTTGTCTTTTATAATCCTGGATTCTTGTGTTCTAAAAGCGTTTCTGTCTTTCCTCTGTGGTAAGCAGTCATCTCTCCCTGCTGTCAACCCTGGCACCTCTCAGAATTCCGCTTATTCCCGCTTCTAAACCATGTTAGGTAAGAAAACCTAAAAACCCGGTTTGCTAAAATAGGGTGCAGTGTAAGAGCCTGAGTTCCATGAGCAAGCCAAAGGAGCTTCACACACCTTTGTAGTAATCTTCCTAAGGTCATGCGCCACTCCGCTCAAAAGCTTGCCAATGCTTCTCATTCCTACCCAAACAAGTCCAGACGCCCCAGGCGGGTGCTGTTTTCAAAGCCTTCAATTATGTGCCCTCAGACCACATGTGCAGTATAGCTTCTTAGTGTGCCCTGGGTGTCTCCCCGCACTGGGACTGCTGCCCTCGGCCTCCTGTTGTTAAAACACCTCCACCTTCAAGGCCCTGTCAAGACCTACCTCCTTCCTGCAGGCTCTCAGTTATCAATAATCCCTCTCCATCCTTTGAGCTCTCCTGTCATTTGATTTACATCGCTCCCCTGGTGTTTATCGCCTTCTAACTTAAAGGAATGACTTCTTTAAGGATCATGTCTAGTTCTCTTTACTGTCCTACAGCCTCCTTGGAGAGGTTCCTGTAAGCCCTGGCACCGCCTCTTGCTGAACGAAGATATAAATGAGTGGCGGCAAATGCTCTGTCTGCTCTCGATGTCTGAGCCTGAGCCGCGCTTCTCAGTGTCCCCACTGTGCTCTAGCTTGCTCAGGCGGCTGCATTCATAAGCTCCTGTCAGATTCTTTCAGGGAGGGGGGTAGCTCTTCCTCGGGGTGACTGCTGAGCCAAGTCTGCCTGCCCAAGGTCTCAGGGGCACTTGGCTGCCTCTGCCCTGGGCCCTCCTGGAAGAGGGGCCGCACCAAGCACCCGCCTGTGTGCAGCGGCAGGCGGCCTGCGGGGCACTCACCACTGCCGAGCCTCAGGAGCAGCACGTCCTGGAGCCTCCGGTTGAGGTCTCGGAGCTCCTTCATTTCGGACACGAGTGCCCCGTACTCCTTGAGCTTCTTGGCCTGCTGCACCAGCTGCCTCCGAGTCCGCTCCAGCTCCTGCTGGAGGTGGCGCATCTCCTCCTGCTGCTGCTGGTAGTTGCGCAACAGCTCCTCGTACAGAGCCCGGGGCACGACGGCATCCTCCAGACTGTCCATGTCCTCAGTGCCCGGCGAGGCCTCCACGAAGACCTCCTCCGAGCACGTGCCGTGGCCCAGGCTCAGGCCGTTCTGCTTCTCCAGCCGGGCCACCACGGCCTCAATGCTCTTGTGCGCCACGTCGCTCGGCTTCCGCCCCTCGGGTCTCTGTGTAGGACAACGAGAGTCAGTTCAGGCAAGGGCAGCTGGGACTTTTCGTAGACTGCAGCTCAGTATTTCCCCAGACAATCCTAGAATCACAGAATCACAGAACATCAGTGCTTGGAGAAACCTGTGCAAACATGCAGTCAAAACCCTTCATTTTACAAACGGGAAACAGGCACAGAGCCGAGAAGGGTCTTGCCCAAAGTCACACGGTCAGGTGGTGGCAGAACCAGGACTCTGTTTCCCTGGCCAACACCTTTTCCATCCCATCACTCTGCCTCTTGGATGTGCGTTAGACCATGACCACGCTCCCCAACTCCCCAGACCCCCGCCCCACCCACAGGACCTAGGCAGTGACTTGCTCACAGGGGCGCTCAATGTACATTTGTGGAAAATCAGGGAGAAATCGTGACAAGCCAAGTCATCCCAGGGGAGTCACCACTCAAATCCCTTCAACAACAACAATATAAAAGTGCAAAAAGGGGCATTCCATCAAGCAACCTTCTCCTCGAGAATGCTTTAATTGGGAAGGATACGAAGAACTCTCATCTCCTCTCATCTAGGGCGGCAACCGCGTCTTATTTTCTCTGTTCCTCCACTCCTACCCAGACTGGCACTTGGCAGGGGCTTGGTAAATGTTTGCTTAACCGAAAAGTTGAAAGAATGCTAGCATTGAAAGGTTCTTCAGTTGAACAACCTAGTCTTACAGGTAAGGAAAAGACAGCTCATAGTGGGGAAGGACTAGACTCAGGGTCACGCGGGGAGCTACAGAGCCGAACCCAGAACCTGAAGTCTAACTTCTAGCCCTTGGTTCCTTCCCCGCGTTCACCAGCCTCGCCTTGGACACCAGCCAAGTTGAAGCTCAGCAAGACAGTGATACAGAGAGGACAGTTCATGGGGAAGAGAATTACTCAGGACTACACAGGGGCTTCAGCTGCTGGAGGAAATTCCAGCTCGAGTGGACAAAGCTTCCTTTGAGGGGGAGTGGGAGTGACAGGACCAACGGAATTCCTCAGCCAGGGCAGGGGGGTAGGAGCTCTCCTGATTGGGGGCACTTGTGGGAGGACACAGATTCCAGATGACTTAACTGTGTCAGTTCAAGCCTGCCTCACTAAGTTTCTGTAAATTTAAAAGAAAAAAACAAACATGACTCTGAGATTGAGTTTCATGACAAATCCTATCCTGTCATTTTATTCACTGGGATGAGGTGCTGCTAGTCTAGATGAACCTGTCAGCTAAAATTGTAAAGACCACTTTAGTTATCTGTCTGTACCACGCCAGGCCAACATAAGGCCACCAAGGGCAATGACCTCAACTGGCTGATCACCACCACCCTGGGGACTGGCACAGGGCCAGGCCCATAGCAAGGGTGCAATGAATGCATGGAATGAACTTGGCTGCATCTCTTGGATTATACCTTGGGAATGTCCTTGACCTTGTGTCCAGAATCAGACCATGGTCAGTGCAGAAGGCATCCGTCTTTCTGCCCCCTTCCCCTGTGGTACCCACTGCACAGAAAAAACACTTGGCTTGTTGAACAAGATTTTCAGTAGGTTTAAAAGTGAAGGCTGGAGGAGACCAACTTGGGTTCATACCAAAGAAAATGCAACCTCATGCAAAAGTTATCTTCCAACCCATAAACCCCCTTCTGTGAATCAGGCTCACCCTGTTCCTAGGGAGTCTACCTCTCGCTGTTTGGGGCAATCAGATAGTGACCAGCTTGGATCTGCTGCCCGAGAACATTATGCTTAGTGTTCCTGGAGCTCAGCACAGACCTCTCCAGAGCTGTGGGCCAGAGAAAGACACTGTTCCAAACCCTCAGGAGCAATGACTCTGCACAGATGGTGCAAACAGGACCGTGCTTGGTGGCACAGCATGAGTCCGGGCTCCCTGGGAGGCTGTCCAGCAACCCTCTCCTGACCTGTGACACCAGGGGACATCTATATGGTAAGAGGAGGCCAGACTAGAACTCTCTAGCTATTAAAAATCTAAAAATGCTCCCACATACTTCCAGAAAAAAGGAAAGGTTTTGTTACCTTGATGTGTCTAAGCTGTAAATCTTCGCCCCCGTAATCTTGAACCTCCCCATCTTCTTCTACGTGACTGAGAGAAAGTCTGGGGATTTTTATTTTCTTCTGCATCACACTGTTTTCAAGGTCAGATTTGTCTTCTAAAATGCGTATCAAGAGAACAAGTTTCATTATGAGTCAAAATGCTAAAAATTGCCCATATCCTTAAAAGCTAGAGAATGATGGAGGCCAGACCAGTTAAACAGGAAAAGCAAACAAACCCAGGGCCTGTTCCCTCCCGCATGCGGGGGCCCTAGGAGCAGCAATGCACCTCTAAGTCTGGGATCGGGGTGTTTGCTAAAGGCGCTGCCGTGCAAAGTGCTGAAGTGGCGTCCAATGAATTTGGGGTTTCTCTATGTACATCTTAAAGGGTGGCCTTTTATGGAAGTCTAGGACCTAAGAACTGGGATCACCCTTAGATCGCTATCTGGCGTAAACTAAACTAGCACATGAAACCCTCAACAACTGAGATTTTTGTAAGCCAAGTGACTTTCCAGAAAAAGTTGATGGGTTTTCACCAGCTCGGGTGCCAAAGGCACGAAAGGGATGACAGCTCCTATGGAGGTAAAGCCTCAGCTGGAAGGACAGGGGCCTCCCAGGCAGAGGACAAGCTGAAGTAAGACAGATATAGAAAGAGTAACAAGTGACATTTACTGCCTTTTTACTGGTACCAGGTCACAGATGACAGTTTGAGGGGCCTCAGCAACCAACTGGTCCAACACTCTCATTTTACAGATGAGGATGGAAGGGGATTGTGGGGAAGCCAGGAGTGGGAGCCAGGCATCTGGTACCCTGCCCAGGCCCTGTGTGTAGTAACAACACACATGAAGTGCGCTATACACTGTAAAGTGCTGCACAACTCCAAAGGGATTTTTTTCTTCCCCAAGTTATCATACCAACTTCAGATAATCTGAAAGAATTTTTTTCTCCAGCCTGGATTTCAAATTTTATTTCCCAAATCAGTCTCTCAGAGTGGATGTCAAAAGTAAAAAGTTTGGCCCGGCCGGGAGTGGCTCAGCGGTTGAGCGTCGACCTAGGATCCAGGCTATCGGGGTTCGATTCCCGTTCAGGGCACATGCCCGGGTTGCGGGCTCGATCAATGACTCTCTCATCATTGATGTTTCTCTCTCTCTCTCTCTCCCTCTCCTTTCCTCTCTCTGAAATCAATAATGATAAAAAAAAAAAAAAAAA